AGAAAGCTCTGGATACACACTGCAGGAAGTGCTGATAAATCCAATGCACAGTGGAAAATGTTACTGGAATAACTAAAACACTAAGGCGAGATTTCAGGAAATATGGACAGCAAATGTGAACCAGGAGAAAAATAGTCTATCTGTTGGGAGAATTTCCAGTGCCCAGGTTGGCCATATGGAAATTACAGGGTCTTCTTCCAAATCCCTCCATTTCATCCTCCCGAGATCCGAAAAGATCATCTCAGGAGAAGAGCGTTTTTACTTCCCAGCTTTCTCTCTGTCATTTTAATAAACAGTTTTGGTGGAAGATAATACATATTATCAAATTCTACAGAATTACATCCAAAAAGTTCTCCTACACTACTCAAAACTTGTGCAAGATCAGACTTCTTATGGTTTCCGTCAAGTCTAGGTTTTTCGTTTCTACTGTTGAACCTTTTAAATACAACTGAGTAATCAAAACAGATTTCACTGAGTTTTTTACAAAATGGATTTGAATTTGAAATCAGTTTAGGATGGAATCTCTTCTGATTCCTAATCCATCTTTTTTTGTGTGTTCATAGGAGACACCTAGACATTTCCTAACACACAGTGTTTCAAACGAAATACAGTAAAGATATAACATTTAGACGGAATTTTTTACGTGGGGACCAGGGACATGGGGAGGAAAAGAGATAAAGAAGAGTAGAGAAGAAAGTCAGTGTGTATCTGTCTTCTGGGAGTATGTCAGAAACTTCACTCTCTCAATTTTTCGCCTCCTTGGCTCTTTCCGGGTCTAGCTCCTTCTCTTTTCTAACAGACACAGCTCAAATGTCTTCTCGCCAGCCAGGCCTCTCTGACCACCCAGTAGGACCTTCCCCCTGGCACTCCATCCCTCTATAAGCCATACCACTTAGGCCTTCGTAGTTCTGGTAACTAATTTGTTCACTTGCTTATCGTTCCTGACTCACTTACTTGTTTATTATTTGCTTCTTTATTTTCTGAGTCCCCTGACGAACATGTGAGGTTTTTCAGGGCAGGCTGTTACCTGTTTTATTCACCTCTGTATTCTTAGCACTCAACACTGTCCAACACGTATTAGATGTTCTAGATGTTTTTGTTGCGTGAAGAATGATAAGGTTCTGTCCTTCCTCCAGGAAAATCCGCTCAAATTACCCAACACTCATCCTTCAGGATGTCGGCTACCTGCATAGCCTATGCACCCCTCTCTTACCCATGTTTCCTGCTTCAGCTCAAATGCTGTGAAGTGCTTTCTCATCCCCACCCTTTGTGCTTCTGATTGCATCCTTTCTCCTCTAAGTTATCGGAGTCTTGCTACCCCTCCTCTCCCAATTACCAACTAAGTGATCCTAAGTCAAATGATTTAACAGCTCTGTGCCTCAGTTTCCTCATCTAAAAATGAGTGAAACAAAATAATTGCAGCTTCTATCAGGATCAAATGGGATCATCTATAGAAAACACTTGAAAGAGCCTGAACATTAATAAATGCTAAACATTCATAATTATTCTCATTCCCACACATTTCAGCACTTAATCAAAATGCTACCATTTGATTTACAATCTCAAGTGTGTTTGTTTTCTGTTTCCTCTGCCTGCTCTTGCAGTGTCTAGCATAGACTCATGCTTACTAATTAGACAATTCAACAAATAGTTGTCTGATTGAACTTAATAAAGAAAGGGGGAAAGAGAAATAATGAAAAAAGGTGATCAAATAGGTGAAGTATTTTATTAACTTAATTACATTTCTTGAAATTCCAATGAAGAAAGCTCAGGATTAAAATTATGTGTTTTTGCCAATAAATTCAATTTAGAGTTCTGCTTATTCTCAGACACTATCTACTTTCAAACACATCACAATCTTGGTCATTTTTTCTGTCCCCTAAGGAATATTTTATCAGTATTTGCTAAAAAACAAGTAAATAGTGCTTGACTTTACATAGATAGTAATTCACAGTTCCACTGGATTATTGCCCAGAAAATAGAAAATAAAGTCAAGAAAAAATAAAGCAAAGTGATACCAATTTCTACCTTACAGAAATGTAAGTGAATTTGCAGATGAAATGAATAAACACTGTGTGAAATGGAACAAATTCCACTAGTACACATTTATTGCACTTAATAAGGGGTGTGTCATTGGCTTACCCTCTCTATCCTATAGAATTCCAACGAGTTAAAATGCCTCCAACTGGCAAGATATCAGTGTTGATGTAATGTTGCCTGTCCCCAGACAGCTGAGTTCAGCAGCTCTAGTTCCATTTTCCTTTCCAAAGGATAACTAAAGAAACATTCTCTGGACGAGTGTAATATGTTTGCTATGTTTCAAGAAGTTTCGTTCACATTTTCCTCTATAGTTCTGTTTATTGTTCCATGATTTCTGTAGCTTTGATTTATTTGGGGCCAGGTGCCAATTACAGTAAAAAGAACAATGTTTAAACTAGCCCAGAGTAGTCTAAAGGAGATCCACGGATCTGATGTTCCAAAAAAGAAAATTTCACCTCATATGTGTACAGAATTTAGTCTACCATTCAGGCATTATTTGATTGATTGATATTCAGTATGGGAGCGTTTTTCCTTCTTCTTCTTCTTGACTTGTAAATAGATAATGTATTCAACTGATACACAGAGTAATTCTTTGACAAGTCCTTTTTTAAAAAATGAGACCTTATATACATAACTCTGTAACCTGATTTTCCTGATAACATATCATGGACATCCCTATAGGTCAATAGCTAAAATCTCTCCATTATTTTTAGTACAGGCAAAATATTGTACAGTATGGGTATGTTACAATTTTCAACCATTCTGTTAATGAATAATCAAGTTGCTTTCATGTTTATTTTCCTCTAACGAAATGGAAATTAATATTGTATACATATGTCTTTACATATGGGTATTTTTAGTTCTGTAGGGTAGATTCCAAATAGATGAAAAAGAGTCCAATAGATTAAAAGATACATATCTATATTAATATAGATCTCCATATAGATCTATATATTATCATTTTCCTATATAGCATAGATACTGCCATAATATTTATTTTGGGTTTTTTTAAATTCCATCAGCCTTGATTTATAATGGAAACTTTTTTTTAACACTCAGAAACAACAAAAAATGATGCCTTGCCTTACCCAGAAGGTGTCAACCTAGAAATGAAATGTGTCCCGAATCAAACCCTTTTAATTATTACCATGTTATATCAGGGATAATTTTCTATATTTTTAGCATTCTATCTTCTGATATTTTTTCTCAAATTTATGACAGAATGAGAGTTTTATCTACCACAAAAATTACCATATTTGAAGATTGAATTGTAACATCAATAGAACAAAGCATTACTAATCACATTTCTATTTAGATCATTTACAAAGACTCATTTTTTCCCTGAAATCTTATAAGCCAAAATCTATCAATTTTTTTCTTTGCTTATTTTCAGTTATTAGTCTAGATATTGAGCCAGCAAGGTTTTTGTGAATTACTGCTATAATATACAATACATATCATGCGCCTGTTCTGAAATAAGGTGAGAATTTTTTTGTACTTTTCGGCTCTGAGCCAATGGTTTATTGGCCAGTCCCTCAAGTAAAGTTATTTGACCTGTATAGACAGAAAATATGTCCAGTTGTCATCGAATACTTTTTAATAAGAAGAAAAAAAAAGAGAAACCTTAGGCCCTAGAAGACCATTCCTTTTTTATTCATTGATCATCAACATGTTATTTCATTTAATTCATAACCTTTGAGATAAGTATTTACAGATGAGGAAACTGAAGCTCAGAGAGGTTAAGTAACTTGCTCTATGCCTCACAGCAAGTAGGATAGCTCAGGTTTTACTCCATTATCTGTCTGATTTTGAGGAAACACTCCATACGTGAATATGTCCCTAGTTCCCTATTTCACTCGACGCATGGACCATCACCCATTTTTGCCCCAATTTTTTTTTTCTTCTCTTGTTTGTAAGTTACATGTTAGCCTGAATCAGCCATCAGTGATGATATAGACATGAAGGTAAAGTTCTATTGGCTTCAATATTTCTATACAGCTAGAGTGGATTTTTGACTTAATGTGAGCTAAGGACTCACGTCTACTCTTGGAGAAGGGGCAGGGATATTTCAGGGCCTGCTGATGTAGTCACTCTTTTGAGGTTGACATTTCTCTTAGAAACTCTGATAATTGGTAGCTGGACTACCTTCCGTAGGGTATTTTCCAGCCTCCGACTTCATCCTCCTATTTCTGAAGATGTTTTCTACCCTAGCATATTAAGGCTAATCAGCAAAAACAATCAATTTCATATGATCTGCTCTGTGCACATGTTTCTCCCCTTTTGTTTCTTTAATCCTAAGGCTCATTTTGGAAGCTAATGCCATTTTTCTTTGAGATTTCCAAAAGATACACTGGAAAGTACCTCAACTCTCCTCTGCTTTAATAAACTGTTAATGGGGGGAGGGGCCTGGGGAGGGGCAGTAGCATTCCAATCCTTACTGTTTTAAATTAAGATTCTACTTGAATAATTTTGTCATTGTTAATTCTAGAAATTTTTCAACAGTGGGAAATTTAAGCAAGATTCACATCCTTTAAAGAGGCAACACACCCCCTTGCACTGTCATGAATTACACAGCCTTTTGTAGTTTGATATGTAAAACTGTAGAGAGGGTTTGTTTTTTTTCTTCATATGGTGGCTAAATATAATTCCATCCTGTGTGTAGTTCTTGAATTGGCTAATACTATTTTCTTCTTTCTTATAGCATTAGGTAGTTTTTAAAGTATTGACATATATGAAAACACAGCCTCACTGTTTTTAAAATTTAATACCAGAAGAGGCCTAACCTGGAGAAGTTTGGGATGCTCATCTACTGGGAGTAGGGAAGTGGAGGTGGAGGCTCTTTGTAAATGACAAGAGAACCTTTTCTCATTTCTTTTGCCATTCGAGTCCCTGGGGGAGGAAATCAAGCATCATGCAAAGCCTGTAGTTCTTTCCCGTTGAGGTTAAGTCTGAACCCCTACCTGCTGGTGGCTCCGCCAGCGTCGCACCGCAACCTTTCACAAGATGGGCTGACCATTAACCGAACTCCCAAGCGACCAACCCCAGACACCTGAAGCTGATGCCATACCAGCGTGCCAGGGGCTGGAAGGAAGCTAAACAGCTGAAACCACAGACGTGTTACCAGTGGCTTTTTCTCGCCTTTCATCGCAGCCCGATGCACACAAGCTCTTGCCAAAGTCGCTGATGCCCAGCGAGGGTCGTCTTCATACACGCAGAGGAACCGTGCACACTCACAAGCCTCCACAGAAAGTAGCGCACATGACACCCCCCTTGCCCCGCGGTTTCCCCATTTGGAGCACTGTCTGCAGAGCAGGCATGTGCTTCCCTTCTTTTTCTCACTCTCCAAGTCACCAAACTTGGGACCGGTGACGCGTGGCTGTGACTCGAGCCTTCCCAGTGTTACCCTGGGACCCTGGGGTACTGCGGCGTGCCCAAGAGACGCGCGAGCATCTCGAGCTCCTTCGAAGCTCCCGGCGAGGACAAAGGGGGTCCGAATCCTTGTAAAGAGTCAGCAGGCTGCGGGGAGAAGGGCTCTTGGGTTGCCTGTGAGTGCCGTAAGGAACAGGACCCGGGGACTCCGCGCCCTCCCTTCCCCAGGGTGCCCTCACCATTTGTAGCCTCTGCCGCGCTTGAACTTGAGGGTGAGCGCAGTCTCCAAAAAGAGCAAGAGGTTGAGCAGCGCGAGCAGCCAGTACCTCGGCTCCGTAGTCACCACGGTCACTCTCCAGACCCCAACCAACGAATGCAGCACGAACAGCAGCCGGGTGGTCAGGGCGTTACACAGGACCAGTCCCTCCATGCCGGCCGGCGCGCTCTGCCCTTCGCTCCTCACCCGCGACCGGCAGATCCCGCCAGGAGCACCCGAGCCCGCCTGTGGGCGGGAACGTGACAGCTCCGAGACCTGCTACTGCTGTGGTCCTTCCTCACCCTCCCACGCGTTTAGAACAGGAGCGGCTCGCCCCTCCCCCAAACTTCCTGAGAACTCTTTAAAAAGGGGAGAGAACATCTAAGCCCAGCTTTTCTAGACTGCTGGGCTTTCCCGAGGTCTGGGGCTCGCCACCCGGCTCCTGGGCGTTATTCTCCAGCGCTGCCCACTCTGCTCCCAATCCCCGGAGCCAGTCTCCATCCCTGCCTTCCACCCCCACCCCATCCCCAGGCCTCCACGGAGTTCCCAAAAACTTCCTCACCTCAAGGGATTGGAAAGAGGAGGGAGGTAGGCTGAAGGTCAAGGTGCTGCATAGGCTGAATGGGGAGAGGACGCGTCTGTGGCATCTCCTTGCTTTTCCACTGGAGTCCTTTAATTCACTCACACTTCTTGCAGAAACATGGTGACTAATCCGGGACGGAGGAGAGCCGAAGAATCTGCGGTCTAAGCAGTTTTACAAATACACTTCCTGCACTTTTGAAGAACTTAACACTTCGCAAAAACAGAGGAAATCAGATGCGTTGGGCTTTTTGAGAACTTCCTACATCTCATTTAGCGATAGGGTAGCCCTGGTCACTTCTATGTTTTGGGCACAGTTATTAAAGCAAAGAGTGTTTCTTTATTATCATTCCCCACCCTCACTCCTCCAGCCCCTTCACTTGTTTTCTGAAAGCCTACAGGGTTGCAAGACAAGAAGACGGAGGGAAAACTGAGGAGGGAGATAAAAGATAGAAGGAGGAGACATTCATGGAGCTGGAAACTGCACCTTGAGGTCAATGACCAATAAATTAAACGCTGGTCTTTCCAGCATCCAAGGCAAAGAGGAAACTGAAGTCAGGGTGTTCCAAAATACCTTCATGATTTTTGTTTCCTTGTTTGGTCTCCTGCTACCTGTACCACTATTTACTTAACATTTGCCTTTCAGCAAACTCAATTTTTCACTGAAATGATTTTTAAAGGGAACTTTATATCACATATAAATGGAAAATCAGTATAGTATGCTACAGATGGAAGGTAGTTACAAAAATAAAAATAAAGTTACTGAAATCTCACTAGATATTAATTATTGCTTTTCAAGGCTCTGTGCCTCAGTATCCCTCCTCCTCAGGAAATAAAGAAATGCTATGAATATTACTACCGAACAGGAATGCTCTCTTGACCACATTAGGAAATCAAAAGAAAAATGCAAAGGGGATATCTTTCTTGGTTGTGTTTATTCAATTTAAAATCATGCCATACCTTTCTCAGAATGAGGTTGAAAACTGAATCATATGATTAATGTCTTCTTAGATGAAAAGAAAAATCCAGCTGCTCAGAAGAAGCTGTTACTTTCAGTACTGTGGGTAGAGAGCCATTTTTCTGTTTCTTGTGGATCTGCTTTTTCTCGAAATATCTTACAGGAAACCCAGCAGTGATGTCTTAATAAAGCTTATTTAGATAGAGGAGTGTTTGTTCATTTATGTGTAGTGGACAGTGTTTTGTCCATGTTCAGATGTAATTGCAGAGTGGCCTTTTTTTTTTCTGGACCCATCACACTCACAGAGTAGCCTTCCTTGATGTTGATGTTTTATGAAATTTCTGTGTTCAACAGGAGGATACCAAAGCCTGGTTGGGGAGTCCCAGGCCAATTGCCTGATATCAGAGGTTGCTTTTCTCCTGCTCAGCACCCTAGGAGGGCTCTACAGGAGAAGGGTTAAACAAAAAAAAGGGGGAGGGAGGTCAGCCTGACATCTTCCACACATCTTTGATGTTCACTCTTTTGAAAGTTTAGATTCAGCATAGGCTCTGTTGCTTCTGGATCTGAAAAACAAAACTGTCATTAAAGAGAACTTGAAGGGTATGTCTTTTTAATTTTCTCCTAAGCCCATTTTAGAAGACTGCAGGCTTCGAGAAATATCTTGGGACCTCCGATCCAATAGCCCAATAGTCCTTACAAGGAAGGGCGTCCTTTGGAAATCAAGCACAAGAGGTATAATAGGACAGGGCCTTGGGCAACTGGAGCTGGAGGACAGCTGTGGAGTGAACTTGAGTGGCTCTGGGGACCTCATGGTTGCAGTTTGTGGACCTTTCATAGCAACTCTCTGACACGCTCAACTTCCAGCCAAAATCTTTCCATAATCCGAGTTCAGATTCATGAGAAAATGTATTCAGTTGAATCTCTTCAACTCTAGGTACCAGGTCACACGGTGGACCACTGAGTAGGCTATTGATTGACTGAGATGGGTCATTGGCAATTCCTATGCAAAGACCAACGTAGTGATGTTTTCTTCATCCTTCCACATGGGGTTCTGGGCAGGGCAGTCTGAGCAGGCTGGGGAAGAGGGCATGGTGGGCGACTTAGCTGATGCATCCTATACCATTCAGTCCTGAGGTGACATGCACATGTTCTATACCTACAATACCACAGATGTCTCTGCCCTAAACATTGTGCGTGCCATTATGTGCCCACCTAGGGCTTCCAACAGTGATGCAATCCAGAGTCACATCTGCATCCAGAGGCCACCATAGCTGCAGGTGGGTCCCAAAAGCCATAGCTTCCTAGTACAGTTCATTTCTCCCTTAGCTCCATTTTGATCTTATGCAGACATCACTCTATACCTACACATATACATATAAATGTATGCATATGTGTATAACATAATTCATGGAGAAAAAATTATACACTATCGGAAAATACAGTTTTATTCCGCAGAGGAACTATTCTTAATTAATACGTTCCATTTAATTTTTCTGCTACAATTATTTTTTTAAAATATGCTTTATATTCTTCTATTTCTTGATTTACCAACTTACAAAATATTGACTTCTCAACTTGAAAGTTGGGGAGTCCATTATTCTTACTATACCTTCTTTCTTCCTGACTCCACCTTTATTACCCAAATTTTGTTGATGATGTTGTGTACATCAACAACATGTTGTTCCCTACCTGTAATTAAATCTGCTGTGTCTTGTCAATTGATTGATTCTAAAAATTGAAAACCAACAAATAATATTTAAGGTATGTAATTATTAGTCAGTGTATTTTTCAGATATATGGTTCCACCTAAACTTTGAAGACATTATTTTCCAGAATCCAGCATTACTGATAAGAAGCCTGATGTTCATTCATCTCTTTGTCTTTTCTTTGTGGGTAGGTATTTTATTATTTTTTTTATTTTTCAGTTACAGTTGAGATACAACGTGTTAGTTTCAGGTGTACAACCTAATGATTAGACATTATATGATTTATGAAGTGATCCCTTCAATAAGTCTAGTGCCCATCTGGCACTATACATAGTTATCACAACATTATTGACTATATATTCCTCATACTGTAGATAAGTATTTTTTAATCTCCAGAATTTTTAAAGATTTTTGTTATCTTTGGAATGCTTATCGTTTCAATGTGTCTAGATATTGGGCTTTCTTAAATATACTCTACCAGGTTTAGTAGTCATGTTTCTTTATTTAGGTGAGTCAAATCTTCTTTATTTCTTTGATAATTTCTTCTCTATTGATTCTGTTTGCTCCTTGTGGAATGCCTTATGTTTTCTATCTTTGTCTTTTTGATGTGTGTCCCGGTAAAGTTTCTTAATTTTACCTTCCAGATGTCTAACTTAACTGCCATATGATTTTATTTTATCATTTAACTCTATCAGTGATTCCTTTAGTCAAGTTATTTTGCAACAAGCCTATCTTATTAATTGAAACTTGTTTTTTCACAGCATTTTGTTCTTGTTTGATGGATGCCATATCTTTTTTTTTTAAAGATTTTTATTGGGGAATTAGGGGATGGGAACAGTGCTGGGGAATTGGGGGAAGGAGAACAGACAAGTTGCTGTCCTTTTGTTCTTCAGTCTAGTTGTGGA